TATAAGGAATAGAGTGCCCACCAATAAGACAAACACTGAGAGAGCCACATCCATAAACAAAAAAGAGAGAGCCACCAAAAAAGAGAGAGACACCAAATCCAAAGCAAAAGACGTACATCATGATGAGGGTGTAGGAGTTGATGAGGAGGATATATATTCTGACACTTATTCACTTGTGGCAGCAAGTGATAGTAGCTATTTAGTCAACTTGTTTACTGAACATTTTTTCTCCATTCATGTGAAGTGCAGGTGCAACTGCAAGTGCAAGGGAAGGAGAAGGGAAGGAGAAGAGGAAGTGCAAGTGCAAGTGTAGGACCTCGAATAGAAGGAGCAGAAGGGGTTGGAACAGAAAGAAGAGGAAGAGGAGGGAGGTTGGGTGCATTGTTAGGAATAGATGCATGAATGTAATGTATGACACTGAACATGTAATATCTCACTATTAGCTACCGCTTTTGTTGGACTTGTATGTTGGATAAGGCTTGGTACTGTATGGATACTTTTGCTACACTTTCATTTGATGTGATATTATCTATCTATATTTGCATGCTGTGTAGAATCATATGTAACAAGTTGTGCAATGATTCTGCCAATTTTTTTAAAAAAAACAGGATAAAATCACAATGTATTCAGATAAGTAGGGGCAATTTCGCATGGGCAAACTTGTCCTTACTGAGCTCATTTGACACCGTTATCTGCTGTTCCCGGAATAGAGGTAAACTTCAGCTTCGTTTTAAAAAAACAGGAGTAAAATCACAACGATGATAGAAGCAGATGTAAAATCACAATTGAGCGTCAAAGGGGAAAAACACATTAGCCCCAAGAAACTATCGATTCAACCCCGCAGCAAGCACGCACCAACTTCAACCTCTGATACATGCAGGGTCGGACACACGGGCTGGGACGGCATGTCCTTGCCAAGGACGATGACAACAAAACGTATGCATGATTACCTGCTGATTGCGCGTACACTAGCTACACATGTACTACTACGTAGCAAATGCTCTCTCCATTCTAGTAATTTAGTATAAGTTGTTCTGTTTAAATATATTGTTTTTGCTACACATGTACTCCTACGTAGCAAATGCTCTCTCCATTCTAGTAATTTTAGTATAAGTTGTTCTGTTTAAATATATTATTTTTACTGTACACCTAGATGTGGTGTATATCTAAATATATAAAATTATGTATTAAAAAGTAAAAGCGTCTTATAATTTGGAACACAGGGACTACGATGTATATATAGATTCAACCCACCGATGCTAAAAAAAACTAGTAGATATATATTTACTCTCGTTTACCATGTCTGTCTTAAATAAGTATATATATGCTTATGACATCAAACGAGTATATTATAAAATATATATTTTATGGTGTATCTAGTGATATTGATTCGATATTATAAATTTTGACTTTTTTCTATAAATTCGTTTGAATTTAGAAATTTTGACTTAAAAAACTCTAATAATTTGGTATAAATTCTACACATGCATATAGACAAGGAAGAAGTATGTCAAGTGTCTGAATAATCTAGTCCAACAGCATGGACACACACCAACAGTATCCTTTCTACACTGAATGCGTGTGTTTATGACCGACGACCGTTTCATCCATACACAGGACAGCAGTGTAAATTACAAGTTAGCAGATACATGTATATATACATATGTACGTCATAGCAATCCCAGCTGAAATGGACAACTCAGGAGTACCTTTCGTGTGCCTGGAATACAAATGGCCTGGATTCCAGGCTAAAAGTGATGGGTCACCTAACAGTACGCAACACAAATAGTCTACCAAATTGAACTTTGAGATGCTTTTTGATGCTTCTGTATTTTGTTTTGTCCTCTTTTGGAGCACTACTCCAACCCAAGGCCTAGGGCAGTCCTTTTTGTTTGTTGTTGGATTGTAGAAGGCCTTTCTACCTAGCCACCAATCAAACATACCTCAACTTGTTTGGCACATAGACTCAAGCCTTATTTAGTTTCTCCCTCTAAAATTTATTCCCTATCACATCAGATGTTTAGACACATGCATAGAGTATTAAATATAGATAAAAAAATAACTAATTACACAGATTACGACTACTTTGCGAGACGAATTTTTTAAGCCTAATTAGGCCATGATTTGACAATGTGGTGCTACAGTAAACATGTGCTAATGATGAATTAATTAGGTTTAATAAATTTGTCTCGCAGATTACTGAGGACTTCTATAATTTATTTTATTATTACTATCCGAACACTCTTATATGACACCCCGATGTAACATCCGTAAACTTTACTCCCTAGATTTAAACACCACCTAACTGACTTGCTATTGTTGATGAGTATACTAGCCCTACTCGTATACTGACCACTGCTAAAGGTTGGAGAGCAGATAAGCCGTTAGCCTGTGTGGCCCTCACATTTGGCAACCTATGCATGGTCCTAGGCCTAGTATAAGCTATGAAATGTCATACTCGTGACTATTACTAGTACTGTCGTCACATCAGTCTGTTCGTTAGGCTATGGTTTGTCGTAAATGATCATAAATTTTCAGCCGGAACAGTATTTTCCTCTCACACAAACCAGGCAGCAGTACTTCTTCACGAACCAGCAACGATACGAACTAGCCAACCGAACAGGCTGATCTAATATGGGTTTTCCACGATTGTTTCCTTAATAATATATATATAAGAGGATGTAAATGTAATTAGAATATATTAATTGTACATCAACGAACATATATAGCTCTGCACATGCTACCTATTAGTTTTAAGCAAGGTCTTTGGGGCCAACTAATAACCGGAATTTCTTACCTTTGTCATCTCTCTTTTTTTCGCACATTGTACACAATACTCATATTAGGTGATTTGTTACCAATTAGACTACTCTATGTCCTAAATTCCTAGCTTTTTTCCCCCTCTTTGTCACATGCATCTCCATGCATGTTTGCCATGCACTTAGTTGCAATATTAGTTTGATATAGATAGCATGCATACCTTGAGTTAGTGTTTTGTTTTTATTTCAGCGCCCACATGGTCGTGTCAAGTCGATGACTTAAATCCGAATGAATAAGTTACTTGAGAAGCTGATCAACGCTCAGTTCACAGATGCAATACCTTTATGTACTAAGAGTTAAGAAGAACGGAAAAAAAACAACAATGCACCAAAGGTGAAGCTGGAGAGAGAGTACCTTAATGGGTAAGGTTTGAGGAGTTGAGTCAACTAAATCCAAACAGTAGATCACGAGCAGAAAATAACAGAGTGGTAAAAGTTTTCTCGCTGACACCGAGCACACATCACACAATGCACATGCCCATTGATCTGTTCAACGAGAAAAGCCAAACTGGACTAAAAATAAGGCCGGCAGTGTCTGTTCCTTGCAGCCATCGCAATTCTCAATGCTTTACGTGTTCTTGGTGTAGGCTGAAAAGGACTTTCCTCATGACACGCTATATATATACAAAAAAGATATATGTTCTTTCGTATCATCTTGCTCGCAGGATCTCTGTGTTCACACTCTGAATGACTGAAATACTACCACCAAAACCAAAACATACTATAGATTACCTCTTTGCTGCATGTCACGTCGAATCTAGTCCTACGCATGCATGACTGATAAACACATTGGTTTACGTCATTGGATCGGCTAATTATCTACTGGAAGCCATCTATTTGTTTAAACCATGAAGGCCCTCAACGAAGCATGTGTATGGAACTGATAAAACTTGCAGACCAAACTGAGCTTATATGTAACTGATAATATAAAACCGCGTGAAAAGATAAGCAATGCCAAAGCAGGTATAAAAGACCACAGAGAAATTTGCTCAGCTGTATCTATCTCTCCATCTCTTGATGAGCACATAGATGGCTGAGTTTTTTTCTTGATAATACGCCATTAAACGCGCTTAGATTTAATGCATTGTCGTCAGGATCTCTGTGTTCACATTATCGTACCAGAGTACGACAACGCGGACGTTAATTTGAGATGGACAGAAATTGACAACACCACACAAAATATTACCTGTTTTCAGAAAGCAACCAGGCACCATGTAGCAACCACTCGTCCTATCAACCAACCTCCACGTTGCCATCATGCTGCACCAATGACCCGTCCATGCAAAACCAGTCGGTTCAGCATTGAGAGATTATACATGGTGTATAAGCCTATACTGAGATAAATACACTTTACACCAATATGTACATACAAAATCTGCCTCCAGCTGATCTTCCAGCTCCCAGCTAGCTTTGCCAAAATAATATCACAGCTGATGACATGCCAGATCCTGCATAAAGCATTGAACAAGATCAATGCAGGTTCAAAATTCTTTTGCATGATTAAAGCTCATTGCTAAGTTCATTGCAGTTGTGGGCTCAAAGAAGAAAGCCATTTGGGTACTAAGTGACCTTAGTGACTAACCTTCAAGGACCAAACAAGTTTGGGTATTAAAAAAAATTAATTTCCTTTTGAAGGTGACCAGGAAGACATTGGATGCTTGAAGTGGGTACACACAAGATGACATCAAGAATGTTCAATTCAATCAACTCAAATGATGACAATGGGATTGATAGTATAACATTTTTGGTATAATGGGAAAGAAACCAATGATCTGAGATCAATGTGCTACTAATAGAGCTTGAACTTCAACCTATTATCAGTAGCTCAACTTTGTGATCTTGATTTCAAGTCATATTTGATGCATTCTATAGATTTCTAACTTGATACTGGTTTTAATATGAGAATCTATACTTGTTGATTTCAATGCTAGTGAAGCTCAATTCTTCTGTCTCAACTGCATGGGTTGGTTATGACATAGAAGGTTTGATCATGTTGAAATGAAACAATTGAACAAGTTGATTAACTCCATGGCCAATAAATATCACAGCTGCGATTGCATCAAGAGCTCATTGTTTGTGCAGTTCTCAGTGTTCTCAAAGAAAATGTTAATCATCAAAATATAGGTCATCAGCAAAACTCATGTCTGATGTGGCAATTTCCACTGGTGAAGATGGTTCTGTTCAGTGCTGGTTCATCAAGATCAAGGTTTTCATCATCAAAATATAGGGGATTGCAACATGGAAGATGGTTGCTGGTTCTGAAGCAGGGATTGCCGGAGGTTGCTGGAAGCTTAGCCTTCTCTTTCTGCAATCCAGTTTAGTCGATGATTCACAATTGGCGATCGCTGTTTCACACTGATCCTGTACAAAACTGTACGATGGGCTTGGATTTATGGTATGATGCGTTTGGATCTCTTTTGGAGTCTCGGTAGAATTATGCCCGGCCTGTGAAGAACAGCTTGTATTTCCGGTCCGAGAAGCAGAATTGTCAGAGACATCAAGGTATCTTGAGGGTAGAACTACTGGGGTCTGAGTAAGCAATGATTGCCTGCACAAACATTAAACAGAAATTGGCTTTAGGAAATAGCTAACATATGAACTAAACTCATGCAAATAATGTCAAACTATGTGTTGGTCTGAGTATCTTAATCACAATAATCAAAACGTGTAAGTCCATTTGTTTTCAGTTGTAAAACTACGCGCTAATTTTGAACTGTAACCACCAATTTTAAAACTTTAGTACTTGTGCTTGTTGATGCCATATTGAATGGCAGGAACACAATAACCACAAACATACAATCTTGATGGACATATCATTCCAAAACTGCGGCAAAAATGAGTTGCCTGATGATCTGATAATACCTGTAGAAACCCATCATGTCACCATTGTGTCGACCACCTTGTTCAGTTTGTGTAAATTCAGTTGGAGTTGCCTGATCATCAATGAAGCTATCTTCGTATTTATCTTCACTCTGATTATCATCCTCATCCTCTGAAACATCTGCATCTTCAGACACCCTAATGCAATAATGCAGGAGTAAAGTTGGTAAGATAACATGATGCATAGGTAAGCTATGACAATAGCAAAAAAAACAACCAGCAAAAGTTTGCTTGCTGATATGTAGTTTCCATTCCAAAGGTGACAGGAATCTTACTCGACTTCCTCGTCAATATAGGCATCTAGACGCCTCTTGGTCTTCCTTTTCGCCCCTAGAGTACGAGGTTCAAAACATCCATCAAGATATAAAGATATGTTCCAACAAACACAAAAAAGTTGAAAATTTATTTTAACATTATTGAACATTGACTATAAGCATTGCAAGAACCAGCTCACCCATTGCATGTTTTATTTGGTTTGGCCTATCTTTATTAGCAATATTGCATTCTCCAAACCTATCATGACAGCCATCCAAAGACATGGAAGAGACTCTTTTGATCTTGTCACCATATTTGCATAGTCTTCTGTACTTAGGTGCTTGCTGGACTGATCCTGATGCATCCCCCCCTGATCTAAGCTGATAATCACCTGAGAAACTATCATACAGCATATTCCCAGAAGGACTATGTCTGGTAGTAGTAGTCATTTTCACATTTGAAGGATGCATTGGCTCTTCTGTTTTGGCTCGAGTCTGATCTAGCACATACAACCTTGATGATCCACCAAGCTCGTTTGTCCCAGAAAGCAATTGACCATTTTTCTCAAAGTTCAATGGTCCTTTGTGACATCCAGCTACATTGGCGTGAGCCCTCTCATCACGTGACTTTGGAGAACCATGCTTTGGCACAGCTCCAAAGTCTGCAGCTTCGTCCATCTCTTGATGTAGGTGGCTAACTTCAACCACTGGAGACTCAGGAACAATTCCTTCTTCCATATATACTGTTAGCCTTGGACTAAGCTCCATATCTTCCTGATATGAATAGGTGGACTCTGGCAGTTTAACATTGCAGGGGGTGTCCATTTTCTCCCTTGGGCTTGTCAGCGTTTTAGGTGGTACAGTTGTAAACACATGATTGTCATCAACATTGTCACAGTGTCCAGAGTACTCAGGGGAATGCATGGCTACAGTTGATACATTATCCACAAACATATGTTTGTCTGTATTGGCAACAGGGTGAACAAATTCAACTGTTGTCCTACTGACGCCTGCTGCTGATCTGTAAGGTTCGGCTTTGTTCTGGTCTTTGTTATTCCAAACAGCATTCTTTATGTCCTTACTGAATGCAAATTTTTGAGGCAGGACAGGTACAAAAGTAATCAAAACGCTGCCTCTTCTATCCACAGTTACATAATCACCACTGAAGAAAGTGTGAATAGGATACTTCTTAACTGGAGAACCTGGCACAGAAACATTTTCATTCCACACTACTCTTGGTGAGGCTTCTGAACCGTCACATTCCTGAGGCATTTCCTCATTTCCATTAATAGCATAGAGACCTAAACATGGTTAAGAATGTCATTCATCAATTAAACAGAAGTAGATTTGAAACTCCAGGCTTGTAGTTGTGAAATTGCCGAACAGAAATCATATCCATTGAACAAATGAGTTGCCATAAGCCAAGAGATGATTTTACATAAATCCAGTGAAAATGCTATTACTATTAGAAGCTTATAGTGCTAAGATATCAGCAACATAAACTAAACAAATATACAAGGGAAGAATATGACTGGTATTGGTACCTTCATGTTCCAGACCCTCCTCCACAGCAGCAACATTAGCAGGTTCTTGCAAAGGGATTTCACACTGAATAAGAGTTCAGAAACAATAGTACCAAGTATGATCTTTTTTTTCCATTTTTAAACTATATGGAATAAACAACAAAAAAGTTCACACAGATCTTCAATGAATCTACCTTTGTCCTGAAAAGAGATGGATCTTGAAGTTGCTGCATAGCATCAGTTAGCATATCTGTTGTCCGAAATGAATGTGGAACTTTGTGAACGACACTTGGATAAAGCTGAAATCTAGGAAATGCAACAAGGGACGGCCTCCAAACTTCTTCTTTGCACGCACCAAAGTACCTAGCAATCATTTGACCGTCTGCCTCTGACATCTTCCATGGACTCGGCGATGCTTCTTTTGCAGCAACCCTCGTTTTCCTTAAGTGAGGAATATACTTGTCTATTGTCAACTTAACATACTTAACTTCTGGTATATAGACATGTGGAACCTGTTAATGTGAATAGTTAAATTAGTATTTCAGAAGAAACAATTTTACAAAAAAAATAGATTATACAAAATTACCATCCTAGGACTAGCATGGTATTCAAATCTCTCACTGTTATGCAATAGCTTCCTCATGGTTCGACAATCTCCTTGTTTCTTTCTGTACCCCTGCAACTCTTGACCTTCGTAAGCCAAAACCAGTATGAGCAGTTAAGGTAGCAAATGCCTAAGAAGGAAACTTGGTTAGCAATGTAACTTTTGAGCTTGAGAACTTGCTGTGCTCATCATCACAAAAGGATATCAACTCGCCCTTCATTCTTTCTTCCGGTTCTTCCCATCCTTTGAATCATCCTTAATGGTGAGACATTGGCATCGAAACAGATCACGAGATCAACCTCAACAATATCTAGTCCTTCCTCGCCGATTGATGTTGCCACCAAAACATTATATACCCCAGATCGAAATTTCTGTAAATGACCTAGATGATGAGATGCCATAAGTACTGTCAAGAACTGACAGGAGTTATTGTCTGATACCTGCAAAATAGCTTGTTGAGTTTTTTGGCTTTGCCCCTTCATTTGGTTATTACCTGTCAAAGACCAAAGCTTGAATTAGTAATGTGAAACAACTATCTGGATTCATGATTCATCTACTGCATTTTTAAATGCCCCACATCTTGTATAGATTTCTGCTGTAGAAGTACCTAGACAAAGGGGATAAGGGGGTATTCACTAGGTTCAACCATTGTGTTTCAATCGTCGCCTAGGCGTACCCCAGATGCCGCAGGATGCCACAAGTTTTAGTTACACCATATCGCCTAGGCTACCAGGTGTACCCCCAGCACCACAGGACACCACAACACCTCAAAAATCATGGGTTCAACTGAACGCAATCCTGCACTCATGCCACATGTTTTTTCCTAGTATATCCTAAATAATCTTTGTAATGTAGTACTAACTTTAATGTCCAATCACAAATACATGTCATTTTGGACATACATGGAATCAAGATCTTCAAAATTTAACTATTGATAGCCTTTAAAGTATTTTTACGGAACATTATAATTTCATGTGAAGATTCATTCTGAAAGGTACTTCCATGATATTATGATTCTATAGGCTTTTACATATGTATAGAAAGAGAAAGACCATTGTCGAAGTTACATTTTGGAGACTGTGTCGACAGAACAACATGGTTTTATAACCAGAGGAAGTAAAACAATAGCTAATCAGAACTACAAAAATATATCTGCATGACCTACTTCTGCAGAATCAGAATTTATATGAAACGAGATCCTCCATACCTGCTGAGCTTTGACCAATGAATTTAACAGGTCTGATAAGTTTATCATCAATATCCTGTAGTGAGCAATATATTTCTCTGCATTGCAAAGCAATCACCAAAATATTCAACCTTTATGATAAACTGACGAACAGAGGACAATTAAAGTGTTTTCAAAGCAAACATACAACAATAACTTTGTATGTTATATAAGGAATGTGAACAAAATTTAACAAAACAACTGTGCATACTTAATCTATAGATTACAGGAATTTGTCAAGGCAAAAGAGTGATTCAAGGACAGCTATGGCCAAACTTGTCAAAATACAAAACATTTTTTTCCCAATCATCAAATAGTTCAGAGTTCAGCAGATAAGTGCCAGAACAGGAATAGAAATGTATAAAAGAGCTATTTAGTAGTAGGAACAAAAACCAAGTTGCAAGCTTTGATTCTTACTTGACACTTTCTCGGTAATGGGAAAATATAATAATCCTCGAGTTTGTCAAATTGGAATCAGTACCTATGCCATTCACCGTAACGTGTAAACATAATGTGTTCAAGGACAAAAAACGTGTAAACATAATAAGCTATCATATGTGGATCAGTCTAGTTGATGTTAAGCAGCACTTGGAACTCCATGGTGGCATGAATTAAAACATAAGTCCTTCATAGGGGACATGCATAAATCAATGGGGTACAGTGCAGCGGTCACTCAAAACAGACGAAATAATTCCACATTTACCAGAATACTACTATTACTAGCATCATGTGTTCTGATAAATTGCAAACCGAACAGTCAAATTCAACAGACAAAACACTACTTTGCTACAGAACAGTATACCATCATTACAACCTCTATTTCGAAAGGCGGTCCTAGGCACCGGCTCACTTAGCACCTAAGTGACTTGTCTAGCCACTTTCCCATCTAGACTGGTTTAGGCCTGTAGGGCATTGATCTATGTATGGAAGTGGGACAAATCGGAGATGGGGAAGATGAAATATGGTCATGGAACTCATGGATGCATGATGATGTCAAATTTCCTCTTTTTCACATGGCATTATTCTAGCTGACTGGAAAAAGGTACAAATGTCTACACCTAGGCAGAGCAAGACCAAAGGGGTTCAATTAGCTGACTGGAAAAAAGTAGAAACGTCTACACCAAGTGCTAATGTAATATAAGTTGTGTGCAGGTAGTCTTATACTCTTCTGTTTATTTGTATGTTGTAAGCAATGTTTCAAAAGGACTTAGGCAAGCGGTCAGGCCTTTTTCCCCTCTCAGATACACAAGAAAGCTGCACATGATTGCATTAAACAGAAGCACCATTGCCACACACATATAATACTCAATAGAAACAAGCTTTAAGCACAAGGTTAAAGATTTTGTGATGATTAGTTGTCCTCAAAAATATGTTTCCTATTCATTATAAATCTACTGATACACTATTGAGTTCATAGAATAAAACATGCACTCCCTCTGTTCCAAATTGTAAGTTTCGTCCTAAGTCAAACTTCTCTAGGTTTAACAAGTTAATAGAAAAATGCACAAACATCTACAACATCAAACTAGATTCATTAGATACACCATCAAACATATGAGTGTATTTATTCAATATTGTAGATGTTAATACATTTTTCCTATAAATTTGGTCGGAGTTAAACAAGTTTGATTTCATTAGATACACCATGAAACATATGAGTGTATTTATTCGATATCGTAGATGTTAATACATTTTTTCTATAAACTTGGTCAGAGTTAGACAAGTTTAACTTAGGACCAATGTTTACAAGTCGTCTAGTCAAACCTAGTCGCCAATGGGACCGACTAGGACGATTAATCGCGATAAATAGGGCGACTTGTACAAGTCAACGGTGCCCCTCACCAGGGACCGATTAGGACGATTAATCGCGATTATTAATCGGACGACTTGTAATCATTGCTTAGGACAAAGTTAAAACAACTTAAATTTTGAAATGGATGGAGTACAACATTAAGAAAGAAGGTTACTTACTGAAGTGCTCAAGCATCAGCCTTTTCAATTCCTCTACTTTTGGAGTCGTACTCGTACCTTGAGATGAGGAAAGCTTCATCTTTTGTTTTAGTCGCCAAAAGAGGTCGTTCTTGCGCATCAAATTCAAAAACCTTCAATAAACAAGAACAACGCTAAAGATTAACATAGATAAAAGATTGCTTGCAAACTAACGCACAAAAGCAAGAATAAGAATCAACTCCGTAATCATCACAATCATAATTCTATCAGTATACTCATAGGACGAGGGCACAAGTTCAATACTAATCATCTTTGGGTATTAATTTATTAAGTTCTAGAATGGTCAAGTTTCCTGAATGGTAACTACAACTGCCAAAGTACCAATATCGCGCATCCATGCAGAAAATTTAGCTGGATGTTCATAAAACTTGTAATCCAGTTAGTTAAAAAAGAATTCTATGAAGTTGAAGAGGATAGGCAGAAATTATTTAACCACTAAGATGTACGTCATAAAAAAATCACTAAGATGTTTATTATAAATTTATATCAATAAGACACACACATTTTAGAAATGTACAAGGAAATAGTGCCCTTTAGAAATGGATGGACGCCATGCGGGATCAAGGAAATAGTGCCTCGCTTGTGCAATCTCTTCCCAGGACCTTCCTTGCCGGTTAACTCTGCTTGCACCAGGCCCGCCCTTCAAATAGTGCCCTCTGTTTCTCTTCCCAAATTCCTTGCCTTAACTGTGTAATTTTCTTGAAGTTGACCTTTCTCTCAAAATTTTATTTAAATTTCCTAAGACTTCTAAATCCAACAAAACATCAAACATTACCTAAATAAATCAAAAGAGCAAACAACATATGGCAACTGGTTGCAGTGCAGCTACAGGTATCACAAGTAAACGTTGCTATTTGGTTAAATTTATAACCTTGAAGACAGCTCAAATGTGATTAAGTTGCACTGAACCATTCTACATGAAGATCACACTATGGCTGTCAACAATACGGACTAGTAACTACTGCTGCATCAAGAAAACAGGTCTGTCAAGAATTTCCATACAGCTTTACCAAAGAGAATAGTCCTCAGTCCTCACATGCCTCATACTCCCTCCGTTCCAAATTATAAGTCACTTTGACTTTTTTGGTACATCCATTTTGCTATGCATCTAGATATAACGTATTCTAGATACATAGCAAATTCTATGTACCAAAAAAGGCAAAGCGACTTATAATTTGGAACGAATGGAGTATTTATGAGCCTAGTATGCATCACTGCAAATAAAAATTAAAAAGTACATTTATGTAGCAAAAGTGTGAAGACAATACCCTCCCTTCAACTTCTTGTCAAGATACCCATGTGCAATTTGGGTTCCATGGCTCAAAAGCAACCTCCTTGTGTGACAAAGTGGGCCAAGAATTACAAAAGACCTTTCAATTTCCCCTCTCTCAATTTCATGGATATTTGGTGGGGGTGCTTCCTTGAATTTATCCTTAAATTGCAGCAGTTCATATTGGGTCCACTGGTGAAATCATGTGAGCAACTAACGATCATCAGGGCACAAGTGGATAAATATTCTTATAATCAAATGCATGTAAACATAATGATTGTGATTTTAAAGGTATGATAAAGTGATAAACATACATTTGCATAATCCCGATGGTCAATCACACCAGCATCACGCAATCGATTAAGATGTGGGCGCACAATATCCAAAAGCATATTAGCAACTTGAGTAGCATCACTGCCAGAAGGGACCTACACTGGAACATGCGACTTTTACATCACAGAGGAACAGTATATTGTCAACAAAAGTTCACACGTACCTGCACAACTTCAATTTTGCGTGTGTTAACATACTGGTTCACTCTAGAATCCTCTTCATCACAATAAATTAGTTCCGAAATGCTTAAATTGTCTATAACACTTTGGATCTTTGAATGCTTGGCTGAACCACAAGTAGGACAAGATTGCAAACTTAGATGGTGCCTTCATGATTGGGCAAGTAAGTCTATTTTAATGTAGAAACTTACATCCTGGTGTAGCAGTTAGAGCTAAAATCCTTAAAGGCACACGAGCTGCCAGCAACTGTGAATGTGACAGAAAATAAAGATTGATCAAGCCAAGTTGCACAGCATTCAAAAAACTAGTTGACTGATGTTCCCTCTAGTCAGCAATAAGTGACGTTATGGGGTTGTCTTAAGTCAACAATCCCAAACTTCAGTTACAGATTACTTTTTTATGTGTAAAGTTTAGATATTCGATTATTCAAAGGATCTGAGTAACTTGTCACAAAATGAATTCATATAATTATACTTTTGATATGTTTAATAGCATTTTGTAACAAAAGGTACTAGTCAAAGTTGTGTTTGGAAACCATGTCAATTCAACGTCCAAAATACCACTTATTTTTTGTGACTAAACAGAGTATTATAATGAATCAAAAGAGCTCCCAATGGAGCAAAATGATGACAACAAAATAGGATTTCACGTGCAGATAAAACAAATGAGTGTAGTACATGACAGTGAAACATACCTCTCGGATAACCATGCAGTAAGCATAATTTCCTGATGCTTTATGAGCCTCATCTATCACTAAGCAAACTATTTGCTGTACCATGCATATACCTGTTAAAACCAAAGTTCATAATGAAAAATTGGAGAATAATAAAAGTAAACTTTAAGCATATAACAAAAGTAAGAACATAAAAAAATCAACTATATAGAGTAGTTCTTAAATGCTGATTTGGAAGTAAGTTTGTGTTCAGTTATCATTCTAAAAATAGTAAATGGACCTCCAACTGATAGCAAGATGGATTAGCAATAAACAACCCAAGAATATCACTACCTCCAGACAATGGAAACAGCTTGTTTTCTTCTTGTTTTTGTTGTCCGAGCCTCTGAGGGTCAAGTTTAATTGACTGGAACTAGTAATAAAGACCTATGTTACACGGATACGTCCCTGAAGCCACGTATCACGTATCGGATACGTATCGGATACGGATACGTGTCCGATACGCTCTGGATACGTATCCTCGGAGTATCCGATTTTTTATTATTTTCGCAAATGTTGGATCGCCGTCGACACGATCGGCCTGCCGATACTGCCCAGACCAACGAACAGTGGAGGCCGTGCAACACGAAGGGGAGCAGAAGGAGATGAGTCCTGCGCGGGCAAGGTTGCTCGCGTCGGCCGCCGAGCCGCTGTCGATTCGGGCAACACCACCGCCGATTGGAGCACCGCCGCCGCCGGATCGACCCCCCCTCCGCCGGATTGACCCCACCGCCGTCGATTCGACCTCCGCCGCCGCTGATTGGAGCTCCGGCACCGCAGGATTCGACCTCCGCTGCCGCTGATTTGAGGTCCGCCACCGCCGGACCGACCTCGCCGCTGCCGTCGATTCGAGCTCGCGGCCGCCGAATCGGACTCCTGACGCTGCCGGGCGAGCTGCGAGGACGAAGCAAGGCAGACAGCGGCAAGGGATCCAGCGAGCTTCAATGTGGACGAGGCGAGGAGAGGCAAGCGGGTGAGGCGAGGCGACCAGCGGCAAAGGATCCAAGCAGGCTCGAGGTTGCTCACTGGCGGAGCGGAGGTGGTGTGCCATGGAGCAAAGGGCGGACGGGGATGCGGGCGGTGGAGCAGATGGGGATGGGGTGCGGGGAGCGGAAGCTGCTTTGTCTTGCGCTGTCACGAGAGCTGAATTGGAGACGGATGGGTGGCAATCGATGGAATGGTTTGGTTGTTGGACAGGGCACTGGTAGGACATACTACGTGTCACATATGGTGCTTAGATGGGCCGTGGGCTTTCCTAAGACAATGGTCGTGAGACCTGCATTATTATTATTTTTATTTTATTTTTTAAATAGTAAACGTATCCGCGTATCGGGTTTCTTAGGAAATTGCCGTATCCGCGTATCCGTATCCTTCCGATACCGATACGCGTATCCGTATCCGTGCAACTTAGATAAAGACTGCCAGAAACGGTCAGAAATAATCACCAGATTGTATATCATTCTGAAGAACTTGTGGAGTGACAAAGAACACTCGCTTTGACTTCCAGTGAACTGATCGAGTGGAAGGGCAAAGACCTCCTTTCATATCTATTATCAACTCCTGAAAATACACAATTATGTCAGTTTCTAGCATGCAGCACAGAAAAATGTGCAGCACAAAGCAAAAATGAGAATTATAGATACCAGACTAGTATTGCTCAAGTTTGTTTTTGACCATGGAACTCTAAAACTGGAAATTTTTTACCGCCGAACCATCAAGACCAGAGAAATTTGGCCACCTAACTTGTTTCAAAGGTGGTTTTGTATTTTCTGAAAACAATAAAGTTGGTTTATTTTTAAAAAAATCATAACTAATTCAATTGATATCAGCAAAATATGAAACCAGTACCAAAATATTTCTAAAAATATAATCCATTTGTTGGTGCTCTATTTGAAGTTATTTGTTTTTTATTTTTCCCATTACCAGTGTTTTATTGCTCGTAGTCATGTCTATTACTTATTAAATCATCATTTTGCACTATATTATACCCGAGATTGACCTTAAGAATCCATAATAGACTATGAGTAAATAAAAGATATGGAAGATGGCACCAACCTTGCAGGTGCCATGCTCCACTAGATATATCATATTTAGCCATTGCAACTAGTATATCATCGCTAGCCTCCAAAAATAATTTGGTTAATTTAAACAACATATTTGGTTTGAGTACGGATTCTCTTGTCCGATCTCTAGGTTTAAAATAGCACAAAATGATGATTTAAATAAATAACAGGCATGACTACAAGCAATAAAACACTAGGAATGGCAAAAAATAAAATCCAAATAACTCCAAATCCAGCACCAATAGACACATTATATTTTTAGAAAAATGTCGGTACTGGTTTCATATTTTTATGATTTAAAATAACTTTTAGTTATCATTTTAAAAAAATAAACTAGCTTTATTATTTTCAGAAAATACAAACCCACCTTTGAAACCAGCTAGATGGCCAAATTTGTCCGGTATTGATAGTTCGGTGGTCAAGGATTACTAGTTTGAGAGTTGCATGGCCAAAAACAAACTCGGACAATAATTGGATGGCCAAAAATAGACTTCTCCCTAAATAAAATAAGAAAATCACCAATAGCAGATTTATTTGCAGTACCTGTGGTATTCCCACTGTATTGTAACATGCCTCAATTTGCTGAGTAACAAGAGGACGTGAAGGGCAAGTAAATATGATTTTCCCTAAATTTCCATTGTAAATAAGAACAAAGTTTCAGCATCAATTCCACGAGTTCATAAAATACGTAAAATACAGCATCGGAGAGGTTAACGGTTAAAATGCGATGCAAAACATTACCTTCAGGAAACCATCGAAAGTAGTTGTACATCACTACCGCAGCAATAAAAGTTTTGCCAAGTCCAGTTGGCAAAGCTATTAACGTATTGGTAAACAGAGCCTTTGCAACCATATACTTCTGGTACTCTCGGACTTCTACATTAGCTGCAACGCATAAAAATAATAGCCAAAATAAATTACAAAAGCTAGATATGCTGCTTGGATTACATATAACAAGATAACTATCTAGTATCTAGTGAAGAGTACCCTTAAATATTTAAAGAGCAAACATGGTTCTACAAGAACTAAACAATAACCATTAACCAGAAGAAAATGGAAACTCTGACAGGAATTTTTCATTGTCTATTTCCAAATTGCTTAATTGCATCCAGTTATTTGCATCTGAGGAATGAAACTTTGTGCATCCATGTTGAAATTTGGGGGTTTCCCTATGGTGTTTAGGCAGCTACCTGCTACAAAATCAAGGATTTCCTCAAATAGATAAAAGAAACTGGAAAAATTAGAAGTGATGCGCGTCAACAATTCACAATCAAGATATCATTTAGTAGAATGCATATATCAATCCCATGCTATACCACTACACTAAAATAGTACTATTTAACAGTTGTTAGCAGATGCAATGGGCAGAGCAATAGAATCAACCATGTGAGCAACAAACATGTAATCCAGTTGTACTCAGGAATACGACAACCACAATGCACTCAATACTTAATCTACAACAACAAGCAGAAACCCTGATGGTGGTTTGGGGAACCCATGTGAAGGCCTAGTAAAACCTGCATTCTAAAGACGTGGATAATTAAGCGAAGAGATTCCAAATAACCAACCTAAGTTGTTTCACCAATAACATCCCCCAAAAAATGGCATTTGCTTGATACAACAAAAAACATATTGCCAAGGGTAGACAGGCTCCTAGTCTATTCTATCCACTTCAACTAAAAGAGGTGCATGCTTCTATGGGTGTAGTGCTGTTCCAGCAAACTAAACTACTTATCCTCATGTTTTAGTTTTTTGCTTGATTTCCTGTTGCAATCGCCTACCTAGTATGGCTGCTCACGTGCTTGACAAAACAAAGCTTAGAGTCGGGTTCCGCATCCCTGAGTATCTGGTACACTTCAGTACCAACAAGAACTTCTGGGAATGTATATCATGAAGCAAGATGGCTGCCATTATTGACTAATAAAGTACCAGCCATTCACTAAAGATATCTATTTTCCAAGTTGGCTCCACCCATAAGCTGAATCCCAGCATGAAAACCAGAACAAAGAACAGCTATTGGAAAAATGCAGCAGAAACTCAAACCCCCTCACTCGGATAGATCCATGTCTTCACAGCCTCGTGGTCCAGGGCGACGGTGCAGGGATCATACTCAACCTCCACATTGGGCCGACGGGAGCATCCCTTGCCAGCACGCTTGACCCGACCCCGACCCCGACCCCGACCCGAGCATCCCTTGCCAGCACGAGCTGCAGGGTGCCCCCGGCCACCAGCCGGTGCCAGTGCCACCTCCGCTGCAGCCCTCTCCTTCTCCCGCTGCCTCCTGGTGAAGGATTCGACGAATCGGTCCTCCACAGCCTTCTCGTCAGCCTGTCGCGAGCACCCCTTGCCCGCGCGGACACCCGGCCGCCCCACGCCGCCGCCACCGCCTGGCTCCACCCCGACGCCCCGCGGCGCCGCCTGCGTGGGCGCTGGAGCGGGCCTCTCTTTCTCCAGCCGCCTCTTAGTAAATGAATCGACGAAGCGGTCGAGCGTCGACTGCCGCGCCGCGCCGCCGCCCGCCGCCGGTGGCCTGTGAAGCTGCGCCGTCGCCGATGGCTCGGGGGCGCGCGGCGGCAGCGGATGATGCACCGGCGCCGGGGCGGGGGCGGGGGCGGAGGCCGACGCGAGGGCGCAGGCGCGGTCAATCTCCTGCACGGCGGCCTCCCAGTCGAAGCCCTGCGGTTAGGGTTACGTGAGCGGGGCGCGAGGAGGAGAGGCGGGGAGATTTCGGGGGAGGGAGAAGCGCTTACGTCGTCATCGTAGAAGTCGTCGACGGCGAGCCGCGGTGGCGCAGACATCCACCGCCGGGGCGTTGGAGAAGCTCGGCGAAGGTCGGGGAATGGGGTTTTGGGGAGGGCGCGGGCAATTTGGGCGGGGAGATTGAAAGGTTTGGAGAGAGGAAGAGCCGAAGAGGGCGGAACGGAGAAGACGATGAGCCAGCATGGGCTATTAGGCCACGGGTATGGCGATCAGCCCAACCCAGTTTTCGAGCCCTGGCCCAATTTTCTAGCGGGCTATCGGGCTCAGCTATGAATTTAACGTACTCTGTAGTGTTTTTTTTTTTGAACTCATACTCTGTAGTGTTTTATTTTTATATTTGAAAACTGAAAGGTTTAGCCGTTTAGGCAGATGATGGCCTTTGATTCGTTCTGTTCTACTCAGTTTTGTTCGGTATAAAACTTGTCATCAATATTTGTTTTTCAATTTTGCCTTACTTGACACATATGACCATGCAAAATAAAAATGCGTACATACATACCATAATACCACTTTGTCTTATTATTAATATAGGCATAAGAACATTCTAGATCCACGTGTGCAGCAACCAGAAAGGGGTGGGGTCTCTACAATTCTCTTAAGTTCTGGGCCAAAATTGAAAAACAAAGATGTGATAAGTTCTACCAAAACAAGCAAAGTAATCTTGGTGTCAAGTAGTCAAAAATAAAGGAAGATATTAAGAGTATGTTTGGTTCAGTTTTGAGCTATAAAAAAGTCGTTGTGCACTGTAGAAAACCAGAGGGCATATACTGTAGAAAAGTTAAAACATACACACCGCGTTCGGTTAGTCTAGTACCGTTCTCGCTTGTTTCAGCTTATTCTCTCTCACAGAACACTATTGAATCATCCAGAATCATCCAAAATCCACTATACATGGCACCAGCCGAACGCGGTGACATTCTTTTTTTATCCCCCTTGAAACAACCGTAAAACAGGAACGGTTCTCTTTTTTCACAAACTGCACCTTCGCTCTACCGTATAGAGTCAAGGGCGAGAAAAAAAAGAGAACCCATATATAGGTTTATTTTTATGGAGTGCTCGGCAATATCATTATAACACATCTTACTAGTACAGTGATAATACTAAAAAGTTACAGTATAATGTTAGATGGCTAGATGTCATTGTAGTCTAGAGGCAATATCAATACATAAAAATGTTCATATATTGGCGCCTAATGAAGCAAATATATCTTTCGGGTTACCTAGATCGGAGCCAGATATACTAATTAAGTAGATCCGCGTAATAAACAACGATAGAGATCGCATAAGTATAGAGCTCAAATATGTCCGCGATTGGAAGACATATATGAGGTACGGTAGCCAGCTATGCGTCGTGTTCGTTTGGGCTTGTTTGGCTGATAAGCCATGGCTGAAAGTACTGTTAGCTGATTTGGTGTGAGAGAAAAATACTATTCGTTGGCTAAAAAAATACAGCTTATAAGCCAAACAAGCCCAAACGAACATGACGATAATCCATAGCGTTGTTCTTGAAAATGGCAGGTGCCACGAGAGCGCTCCGAGGTCAAGCGTCATCTTCTGTTGAGGCTGAAGCTGATTCCTGAACGACATCACCTTGCTCCAGACCTTTCAAGAACGGTTGGTCCCTGTCCACGGGGAAAGCAAAAATAAAGGCTCCGATGAAACTTGAAACCTTGCCCGAGCCAGTTATTGTCTTTTGAAAGGTGGAAAATGCTGGTGACATGTCCGGCTGGGAATAAATCAGACCAGCTAAAATCAAAGGCTTCATTCGTTAATACAAGATCAGTATTAGTAGCTCTGATAAAAATGCTACGACTTGATAAAATGTTAATTGAATTCGTTCAAGTTCATCAGATGCAATTCCGTTAGTTGCTGCGTGCTTTGAGAAATAATTACTAACTGGTTAATTTTCCTGCAGTTACACAGACCTTGCTAAGATGCTGCTGCTGGCTACCGTACCTGATGCTGCTGGCTGGCTGCAGCCGCTTGGCTGGATGATGCAGCAGCAGCAGCAGCAGCAGCACAGCCAAATAAAACAAGTTCAGCCGAACTTGTCATCACCCTTCACTTCTTTCGTTCTCTTTTTTCCCTTATTTTTTTCTCTCCGCTCGATTTCTGTTTGAGAAAATTTTCTATTCACAACTACAAAAACTTCTACTTTCCTTTTTGGCATCCAAACTTGAAATCTTTCCTACTCCATCCGTTTTCCAAATTATAAGTCACTTTGATTTTTTGTTCATCTATTTTACTATGTATCTACACATATTATTATATCTAGATGCATAGCAAAATGGATGTATCAAAAAAATCAAAGCGACTTATAATTTGAAACGGAGAGAGTATTTATCAAACCTTTTATTTATTTTTCCTATTCGATTCGATACTTCCGGTGTTAAGCACTACTCCCTCTATTCCAAATTATAAAATATTTTGAGTTTTCTAGATATATAATTTTTGCAATGTATTTAGATATACACTATGTCTAGGTACATAATAAAAGCAATGTACCTAAAAAAGCCAAAACGTCTTATAATTTGGAAGAAATGGAGTAGAAAAAAAATGTTTTATCACTGTTGTTTACTTCCATGATGATGCTCTCTTTGTTGGCTACGGCTGTTTTTTTGGCTTTTTTATGTTTTCTTAAATGAAAAAACTCGTATATAAAAATTGTAGATTTCACCGAGGGATGCAAGTTTCATATAAAAAGTATTTTTATCCGATGCCACACAAAGAAGACAAGTTTTTTTTAGAAAGACAAGCCTGGATACTTGATTAATATGCAGCTAAAAATTTATATTTTCTTGAGCATTTTAATGACCTTAAATGAGAAAACAAAACCTTAAAAGTTGTGTATCACATGGAGAGCTACATTTTCATATAAAAGTATTTTTAGATGACATCATATAAACGAAGATATGATTTTTCTAAGGTGACATATTCTGATACGCGATTAATATGCTACTGAAACTTTATATTATTTTTTAAGCACCTTAATGACCTTAAATGAAAAAAAAACTAGAAAGTTGTAGATATCGAGAGATAAAAGTTCCATGTGAAAATTATCTTGATCTGACATCGTATGGAAAAATTATGATTTTTATAAGGTAGAGGATTTTAGTTTTTATGTGCCAAAGAGTGTTTTATTTTTTCCCGTTGGTATATGGAGAGATGTTGCAAGCGTATGTTTCAAGTGTTTTAGAGGTATGTTGCAAGTGTTTCATATGGATGTTGCAAAAGTTAATCGGGATGTTGCATATGTTGAAATAGCTATACACGTATGTTGCAACTTATAAGCGTTTGTTCCAAATGTTTCATATGTTTTTTCAGACGTATATTGCAAGTGTGCTTATTTGGATGTTGCATATGTTGACACAGATGCTGCAAATGTGTTTATCTGGATGTTGCATATGTTTTGCAATGGCTTTTCAAGTATTTTTTAGGTGTTTTTTCAAGTGTTTCAGACGTATGTTTCAATTGTTTCACATGTCAAACGTATGTTGTAAATATTTTTATCTAGATGTTTTAAAAGTAGATAAGGTTGCACATGTTGTAGTGCCACTGGTGCCTGGCGGACCAGCCTGTTGTAGGGCTTCGACTCCTACCTTGCATGGCGCGGCGCGCCTCGCCTTCTCCTCTTCTCTCCCTCCCCTCCCTTCCCTTCCATCCATCTCGCCGCGGCAATTCAAGCTCGGCGAAGAAACCCTACCCGACAAGCTAGCGTGCGGACGTCCGCGGAGGTGGTGGCCCCGAGTGAGTAGACGGTGGCCCCATATGGTGGCCCCGCAGCAAGTTGAGGTCTGTGTCGTCCGCTTGCTACATGTGGGAAACAGAGGAGCCACGGGTGTCTATTCGGATGTTCGGACGCTAGTCATACCGAAAGAACATTTATGGGCCAGCCGAGTGTTCAAAACAGTGCGAGGTCATCTCCGGCGTGTCGCTGTGACGGCTCATTAATCTATGAACAAACTGTGTATGGGACTATGGGCCCAAAAAAGATGTCCAGAAGACAAGAGTCAAGCCTTTTACAGTAATAAATATAAAAAGCCATGTAATAAAACCTCTTTGAGAAACCTGTTCGTTTTGCTAAAATTTGGTTGACGATGTTGATTCGTTGTGAGAGAAAAACATTATTCATTCCCTAAAAAGTATTGCTGAGAGCAAAATCAAAAGCAACCAACAAAACCAAATGGCAAAGAACACCACCCGACATATTGGGTTTATAAATAAAACAAAGGAAGAAATTCTAAAAAAGAAACAAAACAAAGAAAGCATGATAAACGGCTTGCCTTTGTTGACGGTAGGGATCTTCCAAATGGATCGGACACGGTTTATCCATGCCATCGTAGGTTGACTTGGCTTGATATATAGTAGTTTAGTAAACCGCTAAGTACATCGGTCAAATTAAAACTATTGTATTTGATGAATTATTACTCTACATAGCATACACGGTTTTACCAAATAGCTATTAGCTAGTTGTTCCTCGAAGGCTTCTATATTTTTTAATAATTCTTTCGGAGGACATTAGGTCTCTATCATGCACTACCAAATATCGCATTCAAAGGGAGAACGCGTCTTCTTGAGTGTAATAGGGATCTGTATACTAAAACGTTTGTCACGTGTAAATAGAAGTTGCATTTCTCACAACTTCTTCGTTCACACGCACAACTAGTGGCGAATCTAAGCAAAAATATCATTTTTTTACAAACCAAGGCAAAAATACCATTGCGGTCATCAGAATCAACTTCATTATGAGATATACATTTTCTTGAACTTAGAAAATTTACTATAGAATTTGCAAATTTTGTCAAAGTCCATGCATACAACTAGGGGTTTCTGGCTAACGGGCGGAGCTCGGCTACTTTAAAAGTTAGGTGCTGTTTAGAGCATGGGTCTTAAGTTTATTTTGATCAAATGACAATGATACTACAATACTAAAAGGTTGGAGTTGAATATTGTTACACTAGCAATCATAATGAATTGGTTAGACAAAGGCCCATTTAGCATGATTTCAAATGGCTCGGTTTCTCGCTATAGTCGTGGAGGAGTTGGCGCTGGTAAAGCCAAAATTAATGGCTTCATTGCCGTTTGAAAAAGATAAATGACTCCTTGAGCTGGCTACCAAACGGGGCGAGAAATATATTCCACCTCACAAACACAACGCTGATTTTGAAGGTTTTTAGAAAAGTTCCGCCCAAACCTAGTGTCAAACGCTGATTTTGAAGGTTTTAGAAAAGTTCTGCCCGAACCTAGTGTCAAACAAAACAATAAAATCATTTTTTTCTTATGGTCGGCGCACCTATCCGGCTTGGGCCTGGTTTTTAGGCTCAATTGCACCAAGCTCCATGTCGGCTCGGTCTGAGCTTGGCCCGCGGCGGCACCGTGAAGTGCTCAGATCTAGAGCTAGAGCTGATCCAATTGCTCTCAAAGCGGCTCTTGAGCTGGCTCCTGGACAAAAGGCGATGAAAATCTGAAATGATGGCTCGGTCCATGACTTTCTTTTACTGGTCTCATTACATACAACGTGTTATTAGCGTGTAATGGGCTAGAATTAACTTTAGACATAACGTAGCCTATAACATTAACACGGGCAATTATACTAGTCAGCGTGTAATGGGCTAATGGCAGTAATATTCTGTGTAATACGCCTACTAATAATACACATGTTCGCTTCTCTTGTAATCCATACTTTTTAGCTTGTTTTTTCAGCTGGAATAATGTTTTTCTCTCACAACAAATCAACCGGAAACAAGTATTTGGCTTTTTTTTTCAGTGAAGCGAACATGCCAATGTTGCAAAATGCCTATGGTCCTATTTGTTTTCCATGCCAAAACTTTTGCCCTGTATTTTTAGCCTATTTTTTTTTTCAAATGGATCCAAACATGTAGGCTAAAAATGAGCAAAATGAAAGTTTAAAGTTTAGTCCATTTGCACCTTAAGAGATGCAAAACTGAGCTAAAAGCGTTAGAAGGTTCGAAGGATACCTTATTTTACACTTTTAGCCTATTTTTTTTTACCATGGATTTAAACACACAAACAAGGACCAGCAGCAAAAGTTTGCCGTGGCAAATGATCCGAATACGGTCATAGTCGCATTTCTCGCACATGTCAGTTCAGGCCGCGTTTGGTTCGGCCACCGAATCGGAGCCGCCGGATTCGGGCGCACTGTAGCTATCGTAGCGTTTTGTTTTTATTTGATAATAATTGTCCAATCATTGACTAATTAGGCTTAAAATGTTCGTCTCGTAAAGTACAACTAAACTGTGCAATTAGTTTTTGATTTCGTCAACATATAATACTCCATGTATGTATCGCAAGATTGATATGACGGGGAATCTTCTTTTTGCATAGTGCCAAATTCTGAAATTTAAAGCAATAAAAAGCCCTCATTTCGACAGGACGCGTTAGCCAACACGGCACTCGACGACAGCTCCATAATCATCAATTAATTAATGAGTTCATGAGCCATGAATCCATGATCCGTGCTATGCTCTCACCATCTCGCGGAGGCGCGGAGCAGTTCATGACCGGTCGGTCCATGGGCCATGCCATGGCATTGATGGCAATCGCACCAGTCACCAGAGGCCCGGGCCCCACCACTGCGAGCGGTTTCGAATCCAGCGAGCGGTTCCCCTTTTCCGTTCCGCGTCTCCCCCCTCGCCTCGCCGTCGTGTCCGCAATTCCATTCCCCACATTCCCCTCCCGAGAGCAGAAGCTGCCATTTCAGCGAGGACGAGCCCGCTGCCGTCGCCGTCCATAGGTCCAGTCCCTCCCCCCGCCGCGGCCCGCGGTACCGCGCCCACAGCCACCTGCTCCGCGTCGGATCTACCGCGAGCCAGCGTCACCCGGGGCTCTCGTCGCCGTCACCGTCACCCACCCGCCCGTCGTCCTCTTGCCTCCCAAGTCAAGTCTCCTCCCCTCCCCTCCACCCAACAGTCACCACAGAAAATTCCAACCCAACCACCTCCGCGGCCGGGGGCCAGCAGCTGCCCTCCGCTTTATTTAAACCAACCGTCCGCCACGGCGACCCCGACGACTCCCCCGGCCGCCTCCCCCGCCAGCTCCCCCTCACCGCCGACCATCCACGCCTCCAAGCGCCGCCGCCTCGGGACCGACGCCACGGGAAACTTTCATCCGAAGGGCGGCGGGGGCTCCGCCCCTCGCTGCCGCTCGTCGACGACTCCGCCTCCTCGTATTTCTCAGCCGGAGGCGGCGGGGTTTGACCCGCTCGACCCGGGATCTGACCCGCCCCCCAGGCCACTGACGGCCGACGAGCTGAGGCGCTGCAAGAAGGCGCTCAAGGCGCTGGAGAACAAGCTCGGGAAGCCCGCTAAGCTTGCCAAGGAGTTCTACAGCCTCCCGGTACCCCCCCCCCCCCCCCCCTCCTTCCGCCCACATCTCTCGTCACCGTGATAATCGTGCGCGAAATTAAGATTATCTAGCTATCTACACCATTCCCCTTCAGTTTTACTAGAATAAAGGGAACATAAATAAACCTTAATTAAGTGTGGTGTGTTACCATGAGCTGAGGACCCCCAACAAAATTGGGTTGCCAAAGAAAATGCAGAGGGCGAATTTGTTCATTAGCTAGCATGAGCCTACCGTGAGATCTTCCAACTTAGTAGGCCAGTGTAGATTACTTCTATGTGAAGCATCTAGGTAGGCCCTGGTGTACACTTTACAGACACAATGATAAGTCTTGGACACAACGATTAGTTGATTACAACGATAAGTCTTAGGCCTTTTGACTTTCCTGAACTATATCATAACATAACGTGTAACATTATCTTCACTTCGAACCTAAGATTTGGACCAGCAAAGCGTATTGGATGAGTAGAGGCTTGTAGCTTCACAATACTGCTTCAGTCAAACTAGCACTTAGGCAAACAATTGCAAAACCTGGTGTAATTATACTCCCAGTCCCTCCTCTTCTGCGAACCAGTCGTTCCCATTGCCTGTAGCTTCTCTTTCATGACATATGATTGCATAGTCCCCATGCTTCTTGTTCACTTCCTGTGAATTGATGTTCTAATCGTTTTTATCTATCAGAGTTAGAATGAGATGTTTTTGAGGTAGAACTGATGCCATCCAACACTGAATTCTGTATAAACAGCTGAATTATCTGCTGTTAGCACATTGCTGGAACAAGTGCAGAAGCCCATGCTGTTGAATTTATTTCAGTGAAAGAGATAGAACCGATCCTTTGTTATGCAATTTTTTTGGGTCAAGTCCAATGTACCAAGAAATCACACACTTGTCTCTTCCATTCCTTTCATTTTGTTTTATCGAATAAGTAGGAGAGCTGTGTATTATTGCACTAAAATAGAAGTTTAAGAAATACAACACACACCAACATCCCCACAATTAGCTTTTGTTCATTTCTTTGTTGTTGTTGTAATGCTTTACAAGTTAATTGTCATAGGAAATATTTCTTTGAACTAAGACAAACAACCTTGTTTTCAGGATATAAGAACAGAGCTTCAGTCAGCACAAAAATTTAGTGTTGCTCGGAAACAAGAAAATAGGGGAAGAAACCGCTACACTGATGTGTTGCCATGTAAGCCCATGAATTTGTACAGGGTTGCAGGTGTAGATAGGAAGATCCCATATCGAATCATTAATTTTGTTTAACATGAGTTCTTTTCCGTAGTTGATCGAACCAGAGTACGGTTAGAGTCTTCAACAGGCAATGATTACATCAATGCCAGCCGTATAGAGGTAAAATTGGCATGTTTCCTTGTACTTTGTTTTTTTATGCATATTTCCTTTTTGGTCCAGTAACTCCAATCATTGTCTGACTTGTGCCATATAAACTTTGCAGATTGCTGGCAGAAATCTATCAAAATTCATTTCTACTCAAGGACCGCTAGCCAATACGATTGAGGATTTTTGGCAGATGGTATATGATAATCACTGTCCTGTGATTGTTATGGTCACCAAATTTGATGGTCTTAAGGTGCTAAGATACAACATAATCTTGTTTTTGTACGTGAAATTTATTAGCTATTTCCTCTTAATTGATAATATAATTTTAAATAGTATCCACGTTCAAATAATTGCAGTGTGATGAGTATCTACCATTGAGCAAGGGGCAGGATATTTTTGGAAAGTTTACCATTAAGATTACAAAGGTCAGGAAAGATGGTCAGTTAGTGTTGCGTGGCGTGGAGATTCGACGGGATGAGGTGAATATATATAAAGTTGTTTACATGCTTTCTGTTCTAGGTAAAGTGTAAGATAGGCAGGTCCACCATGGAGTCTACTATTCTGTATTTTACATCATAGTGTATACATTTCAAGATGAAGAATTATTTCTTGTGCCAAAAACATAGAAAGACAGACTTGAGTTCAGCTTTTGGAGGAGCTTGTAGCTGTGCATAAGCATTTCCCTTCCGGAGGAAAGACTGGTTATAATCTGGTTGAATTAGATGTGTAATTTATATTAGTCCTGGATTACTGTCTGGTCAACCTAGGGTGCTCATGCATACTTATGTGGTAGTGAAGGTTTTGGTTTAATATTTTTGGGCCTTTACCTATCATAGGCAAATCAGCCAGATAGTGGCATTGCAACGTGTCCTGGTAACAGTGTAATTAGTTAGTGAGATCAGTTGCTAATTCTTGCTGAGATAGTATTGCTGAGTGAGATGCCAAATCTTCTTATTGAGATCCTGCAGATTCTTTGGCCAGTAATTTTCAGTTTTTCACCTCATTTTCTTCCATACAACAACAAAGCCTTTAAGTCCCAAACAAGTTGGGGTATGAGTTCTTTTATTTCCTCACGTTGTCTCTTCTTTTGTTTATCTTTTCCTATAGGTTTATCATCTTCTCGTTCTCCTTTGCATTATAGTGTGAAATTCTTGCAATTTTTTGCTGAAGGATTATATCATTGAATTTTTTCCCGTCTGTGTTTCTTTATGTTTTAGTCAGATGAAGTGCGATCTCTTCTCCACATTGAGTATCCTGAGTGGCCTGACCATGGGGTACCAAATGGCAGTGCTGATGTAAGAAGGATTCTAAAAAGATTGTATTACATTCCAAGAGAACGGCCAATAGTTGCACATTGCAGGTTTGTTTCAAATCATGAAACCAATGTTATGCTTTTTGGAGTTTTTTTTTAAATGCCTTGCTTTCTGGTGGGACCTTTCCTATATGGCTATAACTTATTCACTATCTCAGTAAAATTGCTTTCTCTTGCAGCGCAGGCATTGGAAGAACAGGTGCTTATATCACCATCCATAATACAATAGAGAGGATTTTACTTGGAGAACAGGGGGCTGTTGATCTTGTTGAAACTGTCAAAAACTTTAGATCACAGCGACCTGGAATGGTCCAAACAGAGGTATGGTTGATCTTTCTTTATTTTTTTCTCTGGGGCCTAGTTACATAATCCTCACTTGCACAGAGTAGCTTCCATATAGTGTCATCAGTACTTGCTTACCAAAAGACTTCAGAAAGTGTCTGCTCTGCATGATGGTGATTGTTACCTTTTTTCTGCTGAACTATAATTAGTGAATGCATGGTTGCTCATAACTATACTCTAAATGACTAAATCTGAACTTTAGCTATAATTTTAGAAGTGGTACAGAATTATTTGTTATATATAAAGGTGGGTTTTCCTGGTGTAGGTGGTAGGTAGATATTCTTTTGCTTGGTAATTGCAGTATGCGGCTAGCAGTTGCTTTGCGAGGGGTCTATGGGAGTTGTGATATTCTGATCACTAGGGGTCTTTCAGTCAAATTATATTATCCTTTGATAGAGCAATTCTGAAGAGCAACTCATTAACAGATTTGCTAGAAGTGCTTCCATTTAGTTTCCCAAATGACTTTTCTGCTTTGCAGGAACAATACAAGTGTTGCCACCAGGCAATCACAGATGAATTGAAAGATCTTGTATCGAGTTCAAAACATTGAACCACTTTCAGAGGTAGGTCTCATCATGTGCACACTTGTCCGTGACAAACATTTGCTTGACTGCATGAGTAGTCCCAGAATCTTTGCATATCTTCTAATTTTGGTTTTATTTGCCTTCAGGAATGTGTAACGCCAGCAGTGACGTTGTACTGACGTATCTGACAGCGTGATGCCTCTTTACTTGCTCCATTCTTCAAGCCTAGGTAAGAGACTTCATGTACAGCATGAAGTCTGAAATGTGGATTTTATCTGGAGTCTGAAGCCTTTCTAACATTCCCTGGTCAATTATTTGGGGTTCGATGGATATGTCCAACCTTCTGTGATCTAACATTCCCTGAATCACATAAAGATTGGCACACTATTATTCTCTCCCTGAATTAGAATTTAGATGATGTTAGGAAATCAACATTGATTGTGGTATCGCCACCCAGATTGTATTTTGGGTTAATGGTGTATGCATGAAATATAGTGCACAGGAAAGATTTAATATTGGTGTGTTGTGGAGCGTGCACGTGCATACACAATCGTTTGCAGGAAAGATTGAGGTGGGCACTATTCAGTCATACTCAGGTATGATCTATTGTTGGTGATTTGGCGTAACAAGTTGGCTATCACAAGGTTTGTTTGTTGAAGAGCGGTTCGTTTTGGTCTATGGAATCGTGCAAAGTAGACCAAACTGGAGGTGACCCATCCCGTAATACACCGTGGAAGCCTCTTGCGCAGGGTGAATTGTCTGGGTTTAGCTCAGAACTTAAGGGTACACATAAATTCGAGACGCATTCTGTAGTTGACTTCCTGTGGCAGCAAGAAACTTACTCCCTCTGTCCCTTAAATGTTTATCGTCATGATTTGCGTGTCGATAACTTTGACTTGATTTATAGAAAATATATGTAATATTTCTATTTTAAATAAATTTATTAAAAACTAGATTCAAATATCTATCTAATGATACTAATTATGTATCATAAATATTAATATTTTTTATTATACATTTAGTAAAAGTTTTTTCTCGGAAAGAAAAAACGACAGACCTTAGGGCGAAGGGAGTACTCTACATAACCTGCATGACAGCATCGGTTTCTGAAAGAGTAGCGTATCCAGAGCCCCAATGACATGCTGGATCAGACAGCATCAGTTTCCAATTCATCTGGTTTACAGAAACACACGGACTGAAAAGTGAAACCTGGTGCCTCAATTTTCAAACACCGGCACTCTCGAGCAGATATGTAAACGAGATTTTCTAAAAAGAAGAGTTGTCAATCGTCTAATTGGATATAGAACATGCCATGCATGTTCAGCTAAACAGAAATAGAAGGTGTAAGGACCGAATGATACAGTACATGCGAGAGGGGGTTGAATTGGGCTATTAAAAAAATTAAAGCGATAACCATAGCTTATCTAAATTCTACAGCTCCGCTACCACTAGTATGATAACATCCAAGTTTACTGAAAAGCACACTAATGAATCCTTAGAACCATCACACTAAACAAGTCGTTTGCAGGTACAAACCTGCGTAGCTGTAGTAGCAGACTAGCAGCAACCTGAGCTTATATTTTAGCAGATAGTTTCCAAAGTGTATTAAAAACAAAAGATATAAGATTATACATGCATAATTGGAATAATGTTACTCGATGCATCAGTTCATTCACTTGTGTGAATGGTTCATGGTTGGAATTTAAACGAAAGAGTGGGCAAAACACCTTTGCCACCAAACGCAATGGGAACCTTCAGTTTTCCTGGATCTCTGAAGAAGTAGCCTGCCCAATGCCAATGGCACGCTGAACCAGAAAATATATAGTGGGGTCTGACAGAAACACACACTCACAGATAAAAGTAAAAGCTATATATTGCCTCAGTTTTCAAATAGCAACATAATCTGGATCAGATTTTTGGACGACCTTTTCTGAAAAGAAAGGTTCTGAAGCTTGTATTGGACACGCATGCTATAAGCTGAAAAGAAAATGCTGTTTTTTCAAAGAAAAAGTGAATTGAAGCACTCTGTGGTGAAGCGTGCTTCAAAGCCATTATTGCATTGCCGCCATTGTTGTGATGCGGTCTTGGACTCTTGGTAAAGCCTATCGCACCCTGTCAGGGCTAGGCGGCTAGCTAGCAGCTAGTGCATGACGTAGACGTCGTACTCTACGGTGGCGTCGCCGGTGGCAAAGTCGAGCCAGTGGGTGCGGAGCAGCGCGTACCCGCGGGCGAAGCGGAACGCCCCGGTGCCGCCGACGACGGGGAGCTCGCGGACGGCGTCGAGCGGGCAGTTCCGCCCCAGCAGCGCGAGCGTGCTGCCGTTGTAGTCCCCCGCCGTGAACACCAGGTTCATGGCCTGCAGGAAGCCGAGCCTGGCCTGGTCGGACCCCATGTACAGGCCCTGGGCGCGGCCGATGACGGCGCTGGACCCTTGCTCGGGCCCATCCGTCAGCGGGTCGTCCATCACGTTCACCATCCCGAACATGGGCGACGGCGACGACGCCGGCGGGCTCACCACGCGCACCGCCGTCGGCGACTTGCCGCTCACCGTGTCGTGGAAGTAGAAGTGGAGGTGCGTCGGTGCGTCGGCGGTGGCGGCCTTCGCGCGCCGCTTCGTCCCGGCGTGGCTGACGGCGGCCGTAGCAGGCTCGTCGTCTTGCAGCTGGGCCTCGACTGCGACGGCGACTGCCAGCACGAGGAAGAGCAGGAGCGTCGTCGTCACTCCTTTCTGCTTGATGGCCATTGTTGATGTGGGCTGTGAAGTGTTGTAGTGTCAACTGTCAAGTGAGTGTGACTTGGGTGCATCTCTGTGGTGGTTCACGAGCTAGAATTTATAGTGGAATGGAGTGCTGTAGGCGTGCAAAAGATCGGTGACACGTTGCGGGCGCTGATGGGGGGCTTCAGATGGCTGGTGCGAGAATACCAACAAAGCAAGACTAGTCGTGGTAGGGCTCGCGTGGCACTGCTTTGCTTGGCCAACCATGAAAGGCACCTCTGGTGGGGAATGGTGGTGGGGAGCACAATGCAGAGGGAGCAGATCGCATTCGCGAATATGAATTGCTTGTACTTTTTGGAGGAGATTGAGTTTCTCAACGGATGCTCATCAGTTCTCTGTGCTCTTGTCGGTGGAGGGCAAACAACGGTAGACAAGGCACAACACTTGTTGAGTTGTGAGAGCGGAGAAAATCAATTGTTTGTTCTGTTTGTGCATCTTGTGCCTCGCTTCCACGCACGGCTAATATCTGACCTTCTGACCTGATTCGGTAGATTTCCGTGTTGCCTACGAGGCTACAAGGCTTGCATGGCTGGCAGTGCATCGATGCAATGCCACCACCAGGAGGCAGAATTAATGCGAGCTTGGTTACGCCGACTGCGTACTAGCTACTGTTCCAAATTTCTGCACAGAAGAACGAACGGGGAGGGGGTTGGCCGGGTGGTCATTGTCACCCCCAAGACGGGCGGTGCCACCGCCACGCCGTCTGGTGCCCCAACGGCTAGAAACTAGTTGTTGGATGACTGTTGGAGAGAGGGCACCGCCACCATGTCCGGTGATCGCACCGTCATGTTCGGTGACCTCGCAGAAACTGCTCCAAAGGGATAACGGCTTTATTTACTTGTGGGCTTATAAATAGATGTGGTGGCCGGCCTTGGCTACCCACTTGGCACTTCCCACACCTATGTACACCCTTTGCGAGCTGAGCACACCACTCCACTCACTTGCACACTTGATTTCATCATCTTGAGTGAGATTAGAGAGCCTCTAGTGCATTGCTTAGTGTTCTAGCATCTTATGGCACTAGTTGGATGATTTGGGCTGGTGGAGATCTTGTTACTCTTGGTGTTTGCTGACACCTAGATGGCCCGATGATTAATGGATCATCGAGCGGAGAAAGGTGATTGCCTCCGGCTCCGATCATTGTGATTGTGAGGGGTTCTTGTGCCTTCCCCGGCGGAGCGCCAAAGGCAACTCTAGTGAATTACGCATGGCTTGTGGGTCCTCATCTTGTGTTGGTTGTGCGGCACCCGGTTGCGGGTTAGGCGTGTGATGCCTATTAGCGTGTGAACCTTCAAGTGAGTGAATCGTCACAACGGGGACTAGCTTGACGACAAGTAAGTAAACCTCGGAGGAAAAATCTTGTGTCATCTTGTCTCCGAGGATTTCTTTGGTGTTCTTTGATATTGTGATTGATCACTTGCCACGGTGGTATAACCCTCCTACCTTTCCTAGTGTAGCTAAGCTCTTTAGTGTAATTCGTTTTGAGAGCTAGCTTGTGTCTTATTATTGGTTAGTGAGGCTCTTTAGTTAGTCTTTGAGAGCTCACTAACTTAGAGGTAGTGACTTAGCCCTTTGTGTGTGGCATAGAGAATATAGCAACTAGAATTGTTGGTAGGTGGCTTGTATTTTTAGTAGGCTAGCGCAACACTTGCTTCGCCTCATAATTATCTAACATCTTGGCTTAGTGTTGTTGTAGAATTTTTAATAAGCTATTCACCTCCCCCTCTAGTCATTAGGACCTTTCAAGTGGTATCAGAGCCGTGATCACCATGATTTGAAGCTTAACAACCTACGGTGTGAAAATGGCTCAAATCAACACCACCAGGAAGCCACCCCAATTTGATGGCACAAACTATCTGTCAGAGATATGAGCTAGGGGTACTTGCACCGCCCGTATATATGAATATCACCGAGCTATCGGCCCAGCAGTCATCAAGGGGAGGCCTGCAAAGGCTGATGCGGTCGACCAATGTAGGGATCAAGGCAAACCAAGGCAGGCTTATCTAGACGATAGCTAGGATCAATTTATTATAACAAACTAGGAAACAATTTGTTAACCCAATCGTTCTCTCGGTAACCCTACCTCTCCTGCCTATATAAAGAAGGGTAGGGACCTCGGGCTCGTGATCTAATCTTCCACCAATTCCATCTACCTCGTAGCTAGAAGCAACAACCCCTGTAATTGAGCATACAAATACAAGAGCCGCCGCTCTACTGGAGTAGGGATTAGTGTGTACCATGCTCTGAACCAGTATAAATCTCTGTGTCTCGTGTGCTATCATCCTATTCCGTCTACGCGATTACGTTACTGGATATTTCCGGAGCAAAACAATCCGACGCTATCCATATTGGAAGGCAAAGATGACCACCTATATCAAGTCAATCAATAGAAATGTGTGGAAAATGGTGGAGACCAAGATTGAGATAGTCGATCCGAAGACTCCCACCACGGCTGAAGAAGTGCTACTCCAAAACAATGACATTGCTCTTAGTGCCATTCATGATGTCACGGATGAGAGGACATTTGAGCAAATCAAGAATATTGAGATGGCTCATGAGGCATGGAAGAAGTTGGAGGAATTATTTGAGGGCACACAAGCGGTGAAGGGTGCCAAGGCATATATCCTCAAGAAGAAGTTTGCTAGCTTCAAGATGAAGGAAGATGAGAGTGTGCCGGAGATGTTCCATAGGCTTCAAGTGCTTGTCAATGATCTCAAAGCACTTAGAGAAGAGGTGAAGGACAAGGACTTCTCCCATAAGTTCTTGAGATGCTTACCATAGAGATTTGGCACATTGGTAAATATTCTAGTGAGGAGAGGTTTGGACACTATGACACCAAATCAAGTATTGGGAGATGTGATGACCGATAACACTTATAGAGATGATGATGAGAAGGAAGAAAAGAAGGAGAAGAAGGATGACAAGAAGAATGAGAAGAAGAAGAGTGTGGCATTGAAAGCCACATCATCATCAAAGGGCAAGGGCAAGCAAGATACATCAAGTGAAGATGATGATTCAAGCTTTGATGAAATGGATGATTAGAAGATGGCTCTCTTTGTGAAGAGGTTTGGCAAATTCATGGTGAAGAAGGGCTATCGTGCAAGAAGGAAGAAGCCATCATCCAAGAGCAAGGATGAAGCAAGAAGGTGCTTCAAGTGCAATAGCAAGGATCATCTCATTGCGGAATGTCCATACAATAGTGACAATGATGATGACAACAAGAATAGCAAGAAAAAGGACAAGAAGAAGATGAAGGAGAAGAAAGATAAGATGACCTTCAAGAAGAAGAACAAGGGTGGTTCATATGTTGTCACTTGGGATAGTGATGCTTCCTCAAGTGATAATAATGATAGTGATGATGACAAGACCAACAAGAAGAAGGCTCTTGCAAGCATTGCTATAAATAAGAAGCCTTCTCTCTTTGATACTCCATCAACTTGCTTCATGGCTAAGGCCACTAAGGTACAAAACTATGATGATGGATGCGACGAGGAACATGATAATGAAAGTAAAAGTGATGATGATGATGAACCCACTAAAGATGAACTAATTGACATACTTAAAGATGCTAAAAAACACTTTGACATCAAGAGAAGGGAATGCAAAGACTTACGAAAGGAACTAAAAGTCCTTAAGCAAGCCTTTAATGAGCTCAATGCTACTCATCAAAGGCTAGAGGATGCCTATTAGAAGCTTGGCAAGGCTCACTCCAAGCTTGAAAAAGCTCATTCCACTCTTGTTGAGCAAAATAAGAAAGTGGTAGTAACATGTGACGTAGGCTTAACATGTGACATAATTGATGAATCTTTCTATAAACCTATTGTTGTTGCTCCCGCTAACCCTTCATGTAGATCATCATCCACTTCCACTTCACCTATGAGTGATGGTTTCACTTGTGACGCCTCACTTATGGTTGAAAATGAGACCTTAAAGAAGGAGGTCAATGAGCTTACTCTCACCTTAAGCAATGCCTATGGTGGTGAGGACCGCTTGCTTATGTGTTTGGATAGCCAAAGAGCATCTCTCTACAAAGAGGGATTGGGCTATACCCCCAAGAAAGACAAGACAGACTTTGCTCCTCACAAGACTAGTTTTGTGAAGAATAATAGCCGGTTTTGCACTAGTTGCAAGTAAGTTGGTCATAAAGAGTATGATTGCAGGAACAAGAAGAATGCTATTGTATCCTCAATTAAGTTTGATTCTTGTTACTTGCTCACTAAAGGTGCCAATGATGTGAAGGCTAAGTTTGTTGGTACATCCATGTTAGGCCCAAAGAAGAAGGCCATTTGGGTACCAAAGAGCTTAGAGACTAACCTTTAAGGACCCAAGCAAGTTTGGGTACCTAAAAAGAATTGATCAAACACATGACCAGTGATACAAGAATGTTCAACTCAATTAACACCAATGATAGTAATGGTTATGATAGTATCACATTTGGTGACAATGATATGGCAAGGTCTATGCTTAGTGAGTACAATGTGAGTCAATCTTTTTGGGCTGAAGCAATCAACATAGCTTGATATTGTAGCAACCGCCTATATTGCCACCCATTGAAAGAGAAGACACCATATGAGCTCTTGAATGGTAGAAAGCTCAACATTGCATATTTTTGGGTCTTTGGTTGCAAATGCTATATCTTGAAGAAAGACACTAAATTGGGCAAGTTTGACAAGAAATATGATGAAGGATTCTTGCTTGGATACTCAACCATTAGCAAAGCATATAGAGTTTGAAATTTGACAAGTGGTACTCTTGAGGAGGTATATGATGTTGAGTTTGATGAAACCAAGGGTTTCCAAGATAAAGATGAGAACTTAAAAGATGTTAGAGGCATTTAACTTTTAAATGCCATAAAAAACATGGATGTTGGTGAATTGAGGCCTTGACAAGTGATAGATGAAGAAGATGATCAAGTGCAAGTGCTCTCTAACTCAAATGTGGAAGTTGACACTAATCAAGCAAGAACA